GGTCTGATATGGTTGGCGTCGGCGAATCAGCCCACAGAGCGGTAGCATTGGGAGCGCTCTCTGGGTTCTCTGGCTGCAACAGCTACTACCTAGTGAGTTCGAGGACGCGAGTTGGCCAATGTAGTGTAGGATGGATCGGAAGGGTCTACCGTCTCTGGTGTCCGTCACATGCTGGCTTCATTTCTTCTCCACGCCATTAGCTTCTTGCCTACTAGACAAGCCGACTTCTAGGCTCTGGTTCTTATTTGCTCCCTGGCTTCCGAGACATGGCGGCCAATCGAGAGACTGTCTTGTCGGAAACGCCGACTCCGTCTGCGACGGTTGTAGTAGCCTCTCAACCTCGTCATTGTCGCCGTATCTATTCCGTAAGAGCTTGGCCAAGCCTCAGGGGTGATGGCAAGTAAGAGGAACCGGACCAACTCTCTATGTCAGCACTGTGTTGTGTCAGTCTCTGAAACACAGTACAGGAGGGGCAACACTTCAAACATCCTCCCACACCTCCAGGCACAGGCTCAACTCATTCGTCTCGACCACAGAGACACAGGATAACCCTGACTGCATTCATTTCGCAATCAGAGGCCAGCCCAAAAGGAGTTGGAGAACAGACCGTGACGCCATTCAGCAACGCAGAAACCCTTCATGCGAGCAGACACCCACATGTACTTCCCTTGGTTGCGGACGAAGCTGTATGCCGACGTCATGAAGGTTCTTTGCAACCGCCAACTCCAGAAGCAAACTCTGGTCTTTGACTGTTAACGCCATCTTCTGTCCCGGATGGATATGTCGTCTCATTACTCCCGACTACAGTGGTCTTTCCGGTCCAGACAGCTGGCCAGACACATGATACAATGGATCATCCCTTGCCTTGTTAGGGGTTGAGGCAGCCGGAACCGCTAGAGCCGCTGCAGCCGGCTGTCAATCCTGCATGAGTTGCAGAAGAACACATCACACAAGGTCTCGTCGACAATTTCCCACTGGCTGTGCCATCCTTTAAACACGAACAGCGGCCAAGCTGCCATCTTATCAACTAATTAGCTAGCCGACTCAGCTTGCTCAAACCCGCCCCAGGTTTCGATTGTCAATATCGTCCGAAATTGGTCACATCCAATCACAACCCCCCAAGTCCAGGATCCCAAACAGACTTGTCACAGGTCCTCGTTGATCAGCCCCTCGGGGTGTCGCGCACAGACGGTCGTGGTGCGTCTTGGTTACCAAGAAACAGAAGAAACTCAAGAAAGAAGTTGAATGCTTCGGCGCCGCCCTAATAGGTTTGCGACCAGTGATTGGCAATAATAACGATGGGGCCACCGACGGAGCTTCGTGGGATCGGTCTGACTCTGCACTGATGAGATTGTCTCCTCGGAATCTGCAAGGGGACGCGCTCCAGTTTCTAGACCAAAAAGGTGGCAGCCTCGACAGTTTCAGCCTCCGACCTTGACCGAACTTGGCAACCTCATTTGCAGATTTTTGCCAAGCAGTCGCCCACAGTATCCGTAGTCGTCATTCTAACATCGGTCGGACCCTCGGCAGTCTGGGCAGCTCGCGTTAACCTACCCTTACTCGGGCTGTTGATCTGGTAAAAATATCCGACCGCGATGCTCTGGCCTCCTCATCCACACCGTCGTAGCCTACCGGACTGGCGTTACAGGGACCATGTTTCTAATCTTCCCATGGAAAGCTTCCTGAACTCGCCTCGTGTTGCCCTGGAGGTCTTGGTCGCGTCCGATCGTTCATCGTAGCAGATCCCCAGAGTTGCGTACCCCCCCTGACCCCAAATGTTGCCATCAGCATGGCACATATCCAACCGTCTCGCCTCCTTTTCTGTACATGATCGTGTTCTTGTAGGCGCAAGATATTGTTCTGCGGTAGTTCACTATCTGCGCTTGACTGTTGTGCGGTTGAACGTCCATATTGTCTTATACATTTCTTCCTCGTTGATGAGTCTGAACCATGGCGTTGACTGTCAAGCAGCTCAATGCCGATGCCTCGTTTTTATTGACCTTTGAACCCATCGTCCCTGAGTCAACGCCGGGCATCACTGCAAGGCCGTTCCGGGTCCTCTTGGATCCATGGATCACAGGACCATCCACCATGTTCCACTCCATACTCGCAACCGCGACGCATAAAGAGTGCCCATGCGTTTGTTCCCTACAACACCTACCGGAACCTGATCTCGTCATTATAAGCCAGCACAAGAGCGACCACTGCAACGAAGCAACACTCCGACAACTGCCCGCCAGCGGGACTCGAACGCTGATTTTAGCTGAACCCGCGGCGGCCAAGATAATCCGGAGCTGGAAGTACTTCGACGCGGACAAGGTGCACACTGTTCCGCGATGGGAGGACCCACGGGCAACTGGGAAGAAGCAGTCAGTGGTCAGGGTGAAGGTCCCTCCCTTCTCGCCCGGCGGTGAGCCTGGCGAGGTGACGGTTGCCTTCATTCCACAACGCAGGGATTTCAAGGGATTACACGCCGCCATTGGAATCACGTATCGGCCCCCGCCGACTTGGCCGAGATTCCCCCACCTATCGACGCCCCCAGAGACGCCAGTCTCTCAGCAGTTGAGCCTCATCAGGTCCCAGGTCGCAATGGCCTCGCATAAAAAGTCCAGAAACGCACCAGTATACCTCAGCCCTCCAACGCCCCCGGAGACACCAAGCAGCAGATCCCTGCGCTCCGTCCGCTCCGGTACCCTCGCCACGCCGATCCCAGACGCCCGCGACAGGGCTGTCTCCGTCATCTTCTCGCCACACGGCATTTCGTACCGCTGCCTCGAGAAATACGCCGATACTCATCTGAAGGCCGAAGCGGCGCTGCCTCTGACGGCTCTCTTGCATTGCTTTGACACGGTGTCGAACCCGTGGTGGCTCGGCGGCAATATTTCGACGGGCATGCCGGCGGGTCAGGAGACGGCGGCGGCGCTGGGGGCCACAGCCTGGGTGAGCACGCACGACGGCGACAAAGACGTCAAGGGGCTGGTGACGAAAATGCTGAAGACGAAGAGGTACACACAAAAACAGGTTGCTGCCCCGTCGTCGTCTGGCCAGAAGCGCGGCGACAGACACGGTCGTTGGGAGAAGACCGGTGACGGGGAGAAGGAGGGCAAGGGAACCGAGGTGCTTGTCCTCGGGGTGGGCGAGGAGGTTGCGATGACCGGCGAGGGCGTGTGGAACGTCGAGTCCGCGGCACGGGCGTTGCCCATGTCTTGGAAACTGCCCGAGATAGGAAAGACACCTAAGGGGCGGGAGAGGGGGCGGGGGTTGGCACCGGTCGACACGGCGGCCAAGTATGGGCCTCGCCGATGAACCCGGGCCTAGCGGAACTGCTCCGCTATTTTGTCTTTTTGTGAGGTGTTTCGCGGCTTGGGCACTCGACCAAGCCTCTCACTTCTTTGGTGACGCGGAGAGGGGCTTGAGGAGTAGGGATACGATCAACATGAAGATACCCTCGGGAAAGAATGATGTCTGGGATGAATAGCCCAAGACACAGTATGGCCATATGCGGAACGTAAAACGGAGTTTAGGTTGCTTTTCTTCTCGTGGATAAGACAGACGATGTTTGCCCAGGACGGCGGCACCTCTGGCGTTGGGCTGGGTTTGATTGATGCTTTGGGATATGCGGGTAGGCGCATATCAATAAGACTACAGTAAACTGAGGAGCCAAGCAAATCAGGCCGACCTCTTAATAGAACTTATCAATGTGAATTCTGAGAAAAAAGACACCGTCACTCTGAGTACCATCACTGCTTGTGGTTTTCTTCTTTCTGTTTTGGACCCTGGTGGATGATAACTCGTGATAGGATATTGCGGGCAGACAGATCCTGTTTCCCTCCTCATTTGCTTGATTCTTTCTGCCCAGTAGTCAAGGCCAAGCCATAACGGTGTCACTTGAAGACTAGACGGTACGTCCAATGAGTTTAAAGTCCGAAACGGATCGCATGCCCCGGTTGGTTCCACGGTCGATATAATCTGGATCAAGTATCATGGGGGTTTGACATCAACCGAGTTACCCTTCTTCGATATATGCCACCCCATTGCACTCATATCAAGTCACGACATAGGGGAAACTCGATTCGTCTTTGCTAATGATTTCCCGCCGTTCCTTGTCCGCATTCACGCGCGTCGTCCCGTCATGCCTATCCATGGTCGAGCACAGTACCCTCTCATCCAAGGGATAGATAGAGGCGCCTCTTGCCCAGTCGCCATGCTCCATCATCACCGTCTTGATGACCCTTGCTGCGGGCTACACCGCGTACTGCCGCCTCCATATGCAGTCACCGTGCATCGTGGGCTCTATCCCCGCCATCCACCACCACTTATAGGAAACCGGCCCGAACATTGTAAAATGCCACACCATAAGAAAGAATCGTTGCCGCATACTCCAACGCAGTCACACACGCAAGAGGCTCAGAACCAGCACTACCGTAACGGACTGGGCAGGAACTGCAGCCGTGACGTGAAGCCGTTGGGACGATAGTATACTTTACCATCCGCCAGGCCTGTAAGAATCATCCCTGATGGATTTGCCTTTCATCGCTATATTAAGAAGACTGTCCAGGGTGGTCATCCAAACTTACCTCGAATGACTGAAATCTTGACCGGGGAAAGGAATCGAAGCGGGGAACATCCAGGGCCGAGAAAACTTCCAAATTTGGCTATTTCCAGATAAATTCCCTACTATGTAATTGGGATACAAAGAGACCGCGCCCATTAAGGACAGAGTGTCGCTTTCTAATCCCAAAGATCCCTCCCCACATTACCTACACACCCGTTCCACCCAGGGTATCTAAATTTCCCATGCAAAACGAGGCATACCCCTCTCATCGCGGAGGCGCGCATCTCCCGAGTATACTTCTACGTCATCGTTCCAAACCAGCGAACTCGATGCTATAGGTTCCCCATTCTTCCTCACAGGCCATGCACCCAGCTGTACACTCGTCTAAGTTCCGTGGCATGAGCGCTATTGCGACCTTTTGTCTATATCTCCTACTGCCCCGCTCCTACTTGAGCTGCTTGAGAATCTCCGTTAAAAAGTCCTCGAAGCTAAGGGTGATATAGCCGTCCCTATCGTCGTCGTACTTCTTGAAGACATCTGTCATGCGCTTGAGCGAGATGCAGGCCTGGACGAAGAGGTCGAAGGACATTACGCCTTCACCGCGCTTGTCGTACGTGCGAAATAGGAGCTCAACGAAGCCGGGGCTCAGACGGTAGCGAAAGGCGACCAGGGCGTTGCTGAACTCGGGGAGCGAGATATTACCAGAGCGGTCTGCGTCAAAACGGTCGAAGAGCGTGCGCCACGAGGCTAGAAAGGACCAGAGTCCGCAGAACTCGGCGAAACCGATGGTGCCGCTGCGGTCAGAGTCAAACATGCGAATCATCATGCGTACCGTCTGCTGGTCGAAAGCAGTCCAGTCGCCGTTGACAAGGGCGGTCGACAGTTCGCGCTCGGAAAGCTGACCGGTACCTGGGGGTTCCTATTAGTCGACGACCCCTGGGTAGTGACAGCAGCAGTGGCAGCACTTACCATCCTTATCGACAGCTCGGAAGAGAGGCAAAAGAGTTGGGTCGGCGCCATCGGCAGAGGCATCAGGGGCAGGAGACGGAGGTGGTCTTGAGTTGGGCGGAGGTCGGTGATGGGCAGTCGGGCGCGGACCGCCCGTCGGGGGAGGAGAGCTGACGCCGTACATGGCGTTAGGGTTCGGTCGACGATGGTCGTTCCGAGGATCGGGACGGTGGTAGTCGTCACGCGGGGCCGGCGGAGGGGGCTTGCTCTCGTAACGGGTTTGAGGGGCAGGCGGCTGGGAAGGCTTCGGGGCAGCGCCGCCTTTCTGTGATGGGAGAGTCAGTTTATCTGTCGACGATTCATTGTTGCGCGCATGGAACCGAGGGGATGGTTTGGAGGAGCGGCGGGAGTGCCATGTGAGCTGGAGGCCGAGGAGGGTAGGCAACGTACGTGCTCGGGTTCTGCGAACCTGAGGAGGGGGTTAGCACGGCAGGGCAAAAGAAATTGGGTTAGGGGCTAGGAGGACTCCTGGTGAACCTCGTGAAACATACCTTGGAAGTTCGTCGGGGTTGTAGGGTCTGTTGTATGCCATTGTGATCCTGATGCGAAGGTTGGGCAATCGAATCTAAGGAAAAAGGAGGAAACCAATATTTGGGGACGACTCGATTGTGCTGGATTATATGAAGTTGCTGGGTGGGGGGTTACTGGGGGCTGAAGAGAGAGAGAAGGGGGGAGCTGGAGTACCTAGCTAGTAGGTATGTCGAGGCGAGACAGGGGACCACGACTCAACGTCAGGCGGCAGTCGGCACGCTAGGCGAGCATGCGGCTACGTGTGTGTTAGGCCGCCGCGGTGGAGGCTGTGGGAGTGCCAATCGGGCTCGCTGCTCGCAACGAGATAGCTAGAGAGGGGGGTTCAGCCGCACCTTCGGTGTGATGTAAGGCTTAGGCTGAGTTTGACTTTGGTTTTGCTAGTGCAATAATCTTCGGCGTCAGTTTTGGGGCAAGACGGCTCTTTTCTTTCCTTGGAGGTGAAAGGAACATCAGCAGATGGCGGAGGATGGACGAGAGGTTTTTCTGGCCTTGGAATTGCGCTCGGAAAATGGAACCGGACAGCAGCTTCTGGGGCGCAATATGGCACGGGAGGCAACGACGCAGGGAAGCAATGGCGAGGACGGCCTCGGTGTATGAGTCGGGGCGTTTGGGCGTTGCGTCGTGTCAAGAGGGGAGGGGAGAGAAAGAATGTACAATGCGCAAAACGGTATAACGGCACCAACTGTAACCAAAGATGGGTGGACAAGATTCGCTTTTGCGAAAAGCTGCTTTTCTGCGGATGCAGGATAAACCCTCAATGACAGCCAATGAGACAAGAAAAAACATTGGGTATCACACAGGTATACGATCCATGTGGCGATGTTGACACCAGTCGCTCCTCGGGACCCAGACGTAAGTCACAGGGAAGCAAGCGGCAAGGAAGAAGAAGAAGGGGGTAGCCGGGATGTGGACAGCGAATTGTGTCCGGGAATACTCATCCTAACTCTCCCCGGAAGCTTGGTGACCCCGCCACACCGTCCGTTCTGTCGAGGGCACAACGTCAACGAACTCTCAATGAAGAAAGCAACTTAACACGGAGAACACCGTTGACGGCATACCCGGCAAGGCGGCTCAGGTGTAGAAGGGGTGGGCAGTTTAGTTTTAGGTTTCGGTGCCAGTAGTTGTACTTTTTTATTCTTCTTTTTTTCTTTTGGTAATTATTACCTATTACTACTTGCCCCGTGTACCTCTGAGCGCGTAGCGCCCGGATAAGCCCTATGTGTATTGTAAGTATCTTCAACGGCGACAAGCGTCGGTTGGCCCTCGATTCGGTATGATGTATCCACTAAACGGGTCCAAAAGGGTCCAAGGGGTATTTTTCATCGTCTCGGAACCGGGCCTTGATACGATGACAGATACAGATGGCGAAGCCGAAGGGTTCGGAGCACCTCAACTCAGCCTGGAACCGCGGCAGTGATCCGGCATTATCGCTTTCCACCCCCGCCGCTTCACTGACTGACAGTCTCACTCCCGATCATCAGACACACGCGCCCGACAGGCTATCTGCACACTAGGTGCCTACCTACAATGTAGATGCATACCTACCTACCTAGGTACCTTTGATACTTCGCGGTAGCTACCTAGCTAGGTAAGGTAGGAACAGTAAAAGACATCCGTCCATCCATTCACCTTGCCATCCAGCACACACACCACGCTCGGCGGGACGGTATGACAACGTTGTCGAGTAATTAGGTATGAGGTGGTCGACTAGTCCTCGTCGTATCCCCGTTTAAGCTTAATTTGTCGAGGTCAATTCGGCTTGCTAGCACACATGAAATCCCCTGGCAAGTGGGCAGACGCCATTTTCAGCCTCGACGGCCCCTCATATCTGTGAGTGGTTTTGGTGTAGTGGGCTAGACACATTGAACAGCCACCTCCTCGTCCTCGTCCTCGTCCTCTTTACCTAGGTAGTCTGTTGTATGAAGCGTGACCGCCTCGTGAAGAGCACCAGCCGTGCCGCTCCAACATCCATCCTTTCCTTCCAGCGTCCCCCCCACATACCTCCAATCCCGCCCCACCACAGCCCCAGCACCAACACGACCCCTCCCTAGAACGCCGAGCCTCCAGCACGGGACGCCGGCAAGCGGGATTGCGTATGCTTTCCAGCTTTTGCAGATTCGCGGCCCTCAACCCGTCTCTCGCCCAACCTTTACGAACACATTGAACTGTTCCCCCTCCGTCCCCCCGTATTTCTCCCTCTCCCCTCTTCAACGTACGTACTTTGACCCCTTCTCTCCCCCCAAGCGAACCATCGGAACATTTCAGATCACACGTCCCTTCCCTGCGTGGCTTTTCCGTCTACTGCGATTTTCACCATCCCTCCACTACCACCTCTTCTCATGTTTCTTCCTCACTCCTCTCCGTTTCACATACATGGTTTATCTACCAACGCCCAATATGTGCACACATTCTCCTTTGAGGGAACTCGCACCACGGCGCCTTGACAGTTGCACTTTGGAGCTCTTGGTTGTCACTGACGGCTTTCACTACGTTGGGTTCATCTTGCAGCCAGGCAAGTGCCTGAGATCCAAGATGGATCAACGAGCTGCTTCTACCGCTTTCAGTGTCACGTGCAGATCCCCGACGAGTTCAACTACAGTATGACTGATTTGCTTGAAGACTCCATTCTAGGTTTATAGAAAATTGCTCATACCAGATACAAGACTTTGTATTCTCTCTCTGAACCCAACGGGAAGTCAGCAGTTCGGCTTTCGGACATTCTTCATACCTTCCCCTCCTCTGCCCACGCCTGAGCATTCTCCCCCAAAATCACGCCAGCCCTACGACATCCGGCATGACCAGCAACGACCACTCCACCGACAGCGGCGAGTTCTGGCTGTATGGTTATGGGTAAGTCCTCGATCCTTCCAACCTCTTGGGGTTTCCGATAACTACCCATCTCTCTTGGTTGATTCTTGTCTTTCACCTCCCACCATCCCGCACCCATCCCTGCTACAGGCAGGCCTTAAGTATGTTGGTTCTAACGCTACAACCCCCGTCCCCCAGGAGTTTGATATGGAAGCCTCCGCCACACTTCGGTTAGCCTCCCCCTTCCGCCCCTCTCCCCTCCCTTTCTAGCCGTTATCCGAGCTGCCGGCTGATCTGTGTCTTCTTACACCCCACAGATAGGAGAATCCCTGGTTGGGTAACGGGATATGTCCGTCGCTTTTGGCAAGTTCGTCTCCCATACCCCTCTATTTCTCTCCCTCGACCCCCCCCTGGCGTACTATTCTTATCCTGCCCCACGGAACGTGAGGCTCTGTTACCTCTATAGTGTCCGCCGTCCCCAATGCTTGTTTCCACTACATGTTGTGCGTCGGCTGGTCCTATTTCATCTTGCTGATCCCTCCTCGACAGGCAAGGTGAACACCCCACCTCCAAAGGGCTACGCCACGCTTGCCCTCTGTTCTTCTACTGAGATATCTAACCCCATAATCAGTCAAGACCACAGGGGCACACCAGAGGCACCAGGCCGTGTCGTCACCCTCATCGAGCGTTCATTTTGGGAGCAGCTGACCGACCACCACGATTCAGCTCCTGACCGCGTATGGGGCGTCGCTTACCGCATCAAGGCTGACAAGGTCGCCGAGGTCAAGGACTACCTCGATATCCGCGAGATCAATGGTTACACCATTCATTACGCCCCCTTCTACCCGGCCGACGGCTCCGAGTCCATCCGTACTCTTGTGTACATTGGCACTCCAGACAATGACCAGTTCGTCGGCCCCCAGGATCCCCAGGCTCTGGCTGCCCATATCCGCAAGAGCCGTGGTCCGAGTGGACTGAATATCGACTACCTCCTCGGCCTCGAGAAAGCTCTAGACGGGCTGGGACCCGAGAGCGGCGACGTCCACATCACCGACCTCTCCAACCGAGTCCGGGCTATCATCGCCGCCGAGCAAGAGGCGTCCGGCGACGTGGTTTCGTCTCGGCCACCTCCGCCATCAGCCGTCGGCAACAACTTCCAACGAGAAACCAGTGTCATAGAGCAGGAAGAGACAGAGAAGGCAGAGTGAAGAGTTTATCTGCACATTCATTTGCATCTTTCTGGAACCGCCCTTGTCATATTTACCTCCATGTCCCATCATGCCATTACCTTGGAACCATGTCAATCAACGAATCTCACCCACACCCTGTTGTTCTAAACGCATCATAGACAAACATGAAGACAAATAGCCTTAGATCACAATCCCGTCGGCTTCCGAGACCATTTGGAGGTGTTTCTCCTCTTCACTCCGCGCAGAACCACAGGGGGGACAAGCATCACAAAGTACCCGGCAACATCAAACATTGGCAACAACCAACAATATCGAACAGAGGTAAAGGTCGGTGAAGACAGAAGCAGAAAACCATTCCATTTGAGAGAAGACTAGGCCGTCACCAACCCTTGACCGTGGGTTGGGGTTTTAATTTTCCAGAGATCCAGTGCAACAGTAGAACCGGGTATTGTGTTGCAGCGAAGAATATCACCAATGCTCGATCGAACCAACGGGCGCGCACACGAACGTCTGTCAGACTCGGAGGAGGTATCGTCGGCAACTTCTCCTGGCCGCGTGATCCCGAGTTGCCAATATCGACAACTAGCGGGCAACGAATCTCCGAAATCTATCGAGCACTAATAGCCTCGACCGCCCTGGGGCTGCTGAGACGGGTCCTGGTATCCGTAAGGAGCTTGAGGGGCGTAACCACCGTCTACGAAGGAAGCGTTAGCGGTCAAGTTGGACGATTGGATTTCAGAGAACCAACTTACCCTGAGGAGGGGCACCGTATGGCTGCTGAGGGGGGTAACCGCGGCCGTAGGCCGGCTGTTGCTGCTGGTACATGTTGGGAACGCCAACCGGGTATCCGCCGGGCGCGGCGCCATAGGGCACAGGGGGAGCGCCGCCGTAGCCGCCGCGTCCACCACCGAAGCCGCCACGGAAGCCGCCGCCGCCGCCACGGGGACCGTTGTCGGAAGCCTTGTCAACACGGATGGTGCGCCCATCAAACCTATCGAAATCTTGTCAGTTGAACGATCTCGCCGCATATTCATTGCGCCGGGACAAGCTAGCAATGGAAAGTAGTTTTGCAAAGGCAGCGTACTCGACATTGTTCATGGCGGAAATGGCCTTCTGGGCATCTCCATCCTGGGTGTAACGGACGAAGCCGAATCCACGGCTGCGGCCAGTGTCGCGGTCCTTTACAACAACCTTCAAGAATGGAAGAAATACGGGTCAGATCTCTCTCTCTCTCTATCTTCTTTCTTTTCTTTATTTTGCGTGACGGTTGGGGGGGAAAGTATCTCTCCAAGGTCGACGACAATGCCACTCTAAATGTTTTCTGTGCGGAACGGACGATCAGTACTTACAGCTTCCTCAACGGCACCGAACTCCTCGAACTTCTGTCTGAGGGTGCCTTCCTCAGTGTGCCATGCGAGGCCGCTGGAGGACGTCTTGTCAGCAAAAGCTCGTTTGGCATGCTTGACGTCGTTGGATGTGCCAGTGTAGGGGGAACATACCCAATAAAGAGCTTGGACATTTTGATGGATTTTTTTTGTTGTTTTTTTACGAAAGAGCTGATGGTCTCTGTCTGGTCGGGTTAGGAACTGTCTGACAGAAAAAGTTCGAGGGAGATTGCGATGTATAAATGTAAGTGGTCTCGCGTGGCGCCAAGCGGGGTCTAGACGAGCAAAGGAAACGGGGGACGCAAATGGCTCTCTTTTCGAGACTTCCCAGTCGAAGAGCCAAGCCGAATCTAGCGGGCCTGCGTCCACTTGCGCAGCAAAGGGAGGAGGCTGTGTTGGAAGGCTGCCTTTGTCATTTGATGATGGCGCACAAAGCAGACCAGCAGAGGCGACAAAGCAAACGTACGATAGTCAAGCGGGATGGCGGGTGATACAATGAGGCAGAGGGCAGCAACGGAGTCGAATAAAAAAGGGTTGGCGTGCGCGTAATTGTGTAGGTTGTGTATTGTGTTTTGGAAGAGAGAGAAGGGGAATGAGGAGCGAGGGCAAGATACGAACCTAGAGGTTGGAATATGGCGGGCTGGTGGTGATGGCGGTTGACAGACGTCAGGTTTGGATGTCTGGGCTCGATGGATCGAAAAAGGGGAGGGGTGAAGGTGAGAGAATATGTGAAAGGCCAGCTTGAGGGGAAAAGAAAGGAAGTGAGTGCTACTTGCCTAGCGGGAAATTTTTGAATGGATGGAGGAAAGGGCGTTGAGGCAGTGCAAAAAAAAAATAGGCCCCAAGGCAAAGCAGGTAAGGTTTGTGGTGTATGAGTGTGTGGGAGTGGGAGTAGGAGTGGAAGTGGAAGGCAAGTGACTGGACGAGACAGGATAGGACGACGGTGCCAGGAAGGTGAGGTAGGCGGGGTGGATTGAGGAAAGGTTAGGCAAGGTAGGAGCAAAACGAGGGAAGGGGAGGGGGTGGAACCGCGGGATTGCAGAAGAAAGACGCAGGAGGTAACAGCTCAGGCAGCTTCCAGCTTCTCCCTAGCCAGCAATCGCCCATGATTCCGTCGTCGCCGTCGCCGCCGCCGGTTTCTTGCTGCAATCGGGCCTTAGGAGGGGGGAACGTGGAACGGGGCACGTATGGGAACAAGCTCGTGGCGGCGGGACATGGAGGGGTCCAGCGAGTCGGGGCAGGTGGAGGATGGGAGGGGGCAGAAGGGAGGGGTGGAGGAGAGAGAGGATTTACTGTCCCTGGTTCCGAGGAGAACAAGGAATGACGGTTGCATGTACTGCCCTTCATTAATGACCCGACAAGGTACCTGAAGGGACGAACCGCTGTCGGGCTAGCCCTCAGCAGGAAAGACGACAACAACTGAGCGGAAGGAACAAACAAGAACGAGTACCAATCCAATAAAAAAAATTACAAGACAGTCAGAAGGAAAAGGCGACAAGACGTGAAAGGGAAATGCCTGGGCTGGGGCTACCCGGAGACGTACCTGTCTTTCCCGATTTCTTTGTATATATGGCTCTTTAGTAGAATTCCTTGGTTTTTTGTTGCTGATGCAAAGATGATAGGGAAACCCCAGAGAACGGAGTGGGGGAGAGTACGGAGTAGAGCACGCAAAGATGGCAAAAAGGATCGGAACCAAAGAGAAAGGAAAGCAAGTAAGTGATGGCCCCTTGATGACAAGACAACGGTGGTGGCAATGGCAGCAGGCAGAAAGACGAGGTTCAGTAAGGACAGGTGCAGGTGCGCGTTATCTGCCCAACTTCCGCGTCCAGCCATCCGAATCACGTCCCTGGTCCCTCCATCTTGTTATACCTACAGTATGCGATGGGCGCAGGGTCCGCCGTCACGGTGGCTCCATCCAGCGGCAGTAATCTAGGACAAGACCAGGGTGAGCAACTACTTACGACTTACCTACCTAGGTGCTAGGTAGTCTAATACCTGACCTGACCTGCTAAAGTCACTAGGTAAAACAAGAAAGAAAAACTAGAAATTTTTATGGTTTTTTTTTTTTGGTTTTTCGTTTATTTTCTACGCAGAAATCATAATAGGAAAAGGGGTTGACCTGTGCAACTAAAGTACTGTACCTTCCTTGCCTTTACCCTCATCTAACCTGAAGTACTTGTCGGTCCGCAGCTCTCAGGTGACAGGGTCGCTTGGTTCCTTGTTCATACCGGCGCTGTTGCTGCTGCTCAGGCACACGGAGGGCCAAGACATCTGGGAGATCTGCCCGGGACGAAGTGACCTATGAGAAGACCATGTACATCCATGACCATCCAGTGTCATGGGGGCATAAAGAGGGGACCGCCCACACCCCAAATTCGGCTTTTCAGCACAAGGGGTAGGAAAGGACGAGGAAAAGGAAACGGGAAAGGAAAAAGCGCGCCCGTCAAATGTTTCGACAGAGAGCATGAATGTGGCAGCAGGGTTAGCTAGCGGCTCCTCCCAAACAAGCATCAAACAGACGAAAACCCTCACCTGTACAAACAAACAAGCCCGAGATGCCTCTCTCCCCTTTCCCGTCCTTGCTCTTGCCGTAACGCACGTTGGCAGCCGAGGCTGATTGCTTGTCTCCGGATTTGTTTAAACATGTTCGGCCCTGTACGCACCCGGCCTTCGTGTACCGGCTCCTCGCCAGGCCTACATCCGGGCGGGAGCCGCCTGAGGTATGGTGCGTGTTTGAGAGGTCGCAATACCATCGTCGTCTTCGCCGCCGTCGCGGGGTTCTACCATCGTGGCCGGCATCATGGAAGTCGCCACGGTAAGACGCACGCACGCACGCACGTACTTGCGTACTTTGCATCTAGGCAACCACTCAAGTACCAGGGTGCTTCTTCACACCCATGTTTTGGGCCGGCCTGGGGTCCAACAACTTCATACCATCATCATCATCATCATCACCAGCCTCGTTTCTCACATACCTCGACATTGAGTCACCCCGCTGCTGCCCGCCGGTCGACATGTATCATCGTACCCAGTCTGCTCGCACAAGCCGTCCGAGTGACCAGCCTAGCGCCTGCAAGTGTGGTAGGATGAGATGCAGATACCAGGACCACAGAAAGCTTCTTAAAACCCATGAACCTAGCCGTTGCAGGGAAGTGACGGCGGATGAGAAAGACTGACAAGCTGGCTGCAGGCGAACAAAATTCGTGCAGCCTGAATTACTTAGGTGGGTAGGACTTGATGTGACTGACGATGTACATCGTAGCTTGTACCGTGATGAGAGTTGGTCGAGGCGTTTACTCACGCACAGACTGATACCGGGGAAATACAAGGTAGACACAGATCATGAGCGTGCTAGGATATTCGTGTGAGAGAGGAATTTCACGAGAGGGAGTCAGAGACGAGGCGAGAATGGGACGGGGGATGAATAAGAGAGGGTGGGAGATCCTGATGCCCAAACAAATTGGCATGTCTGCATCGCATCCGCCATGGCTTGACCGCGATGGTGCTGGTGCTACCTAAAAGGTGCTTGCCACACTAGTGTAAAGAGTAAGAATCAACAGCACAGGGGTGAGGGGCGACAGGCTTATCCGACCCCACACTTTGCACAGCCTCCTTCCACCATGCCCAGTTTGA